CCACTGAGCCATCTTGTCAGCCCTCTTTTTCTTGTAATGTATGTTTTAAAAGAATGAGGTAGAGTGTGTGTGCATGTACCTATACAGTTGTGAAGGCAATACCGACTCCATCTTAGAGAAGGGCCCCCATCTTAGACCACCTGCTGTACTCAGTTCCAGGAAGGACCTCAGGAATGTGCCAGGACAACTCTAACAGATACAGGGCAGTACGCTCCTGCAGACATTCTGTCTGCGGTTTATGGCCCTTGGAGATATCTAGATAATCCTGCTGAGCAGCCCGGATAATCCTGCTCAGCAAGTTGTGGTTCCCCGCCAAAAGTCCAGTTCAATAGCTTCAAATATGGTTTCGCCCCAAAAGTCTAGATCAATAGTTTAAAAAAATCACTTTGCCCCATATCCCTTCTACCCAATCCCAAATTGCCAAAGCATGTAATTCCCGGCTTTCGGGTTTTCCCTATAAAAACTCTCTACCCCTGGGCTCGCGGCCGCTGCTGCTGCTGCATCTCCCTCCACCTGCCGGGCAGTGGCCCAGGTTCGAACCTGACAACAAAAGGACCCTTATGTGCTTGCATTGGAAACCGGCTCCTTGGTGGTCTCTGGGGGTTTTGAGAAACGGGTATAACACAGTCAGCTCTGCATTTTTATTTACTCATACCCTATTTGGTCCAAATGGAATTGTGAATGGTTGGTCATTTCACAGTAACTGGGTCTTTGATCCACCCTGAGTTCATAGAACACCTCTGAAGAGGCCCTTAGCTAAATTTTTCAGGCTTTAGAAGATAAATGAGAGGAAAGAGAAAGGATGGGCTGGGTGTGCCCCAGAAAAAGGCTTGACTTTGGGCAATCAGAAACAGTAAAGATTGGACAACAGGCAGGTGTGGTGGGGAGGGGTGCTGGAGTGGAATGGGTATAACCGATGGAAACAGAAGTGGGGGAGGGGCATGAGACGGGGGAGGGGAGGTGGGGAAGCTACAGAGGTCCCTAGAGTAGGAGGAAGTTGAGCCTGGTGGTGCAGACCTTTAATTCCAACACTCCAGAGGCCGAGGCAGGCTGATCTCTGTGAGTTCAAGACTAGCCTGGTGTCTGGTGTACACAGAGTTCCAGGACAGTCAGAGCTATTTAGTGAAACCCTGTCTCAAAAAGTGGGGGGTGGGGGGAGCGGGCGGGGGTTACCCTGGTCAGCAGAGTGAGTTCCAGGACAGCCCGGGCTACACAGAAAAACTCTGTCTCAGGGGGGAAAAAAAAAACAAAAACAAAAACAAAAAAAAAAAAAACAAAAAAAAAAACCAGCAACAAAAAGAAAGGAAAACAACTCTGCCCCCAAGAACTCTCTCCCCCAAATTTTCCAGGCGGTAATGGCCCACGCCGGAGGTAGAGGCGGGAGGATCTCTGTGAGTTCAAGGCCAGCCTGGTCTACAGAGTGAGTTTCAGGACAGCCAGAGCTACACAGAGAAACCTTGTCTCGAAAAATGAAAAAAAAAAAAAAAACAAAAAGTGAGTAAGATGAATAATACATGGAGTTATTGGGTTTTGGAGCGCCCGCCCCTCACAGACAGCTGCTCCCTCATGTACTTCTGGAGGGTGGCCGCTCTGTGGAGTTGAGGCTGGGGTCACATTCCAGGGCTCACCTGCAGCTGAACCGAAAGCTCCGGCGCCTCCGCCCTCCCCCAAGATCCAGCCCCATCCACCCTCGCAGTCCCCCACCCGCTCCTGCTCTTGTCTCTGGAGGCTTAGCTGCTCAGCGGAGGCTCCTTTTTATAGCTCACACTCACCCTAAAGTTAGCCAGGAATGCAGAGGCCTTCATCCCAGGCACTCCCTCTACTCCAGTTACCAGAAGGTCGCAGTTATGGGAGGCCACAGTGCCAGGGTGCCTGCCCCAAACTCTGACCACGCAAGTCACTCTAAGCAACACAGACACTTTGATCCTCTGTATGTTCTTCAGATATAAAAAGCCCAGAACGGGCACTTTCCGAAGCGCTGGAGGCACCCACCTGACTCCTCGGAAAGCCCTAGAAAAGCCGTCCGTTGTTGCAGAGGGTCATCTGGGTCGTTAAAAAAACGAAAGCCTGCCACTTCCAACCGCCAGCTTGGTTTTCATTTTTCTTCTCGCCTTTGGGGTTGGGGAACGTGCAGCTCAGAGGACAACCTGTGGGAGACGGTTCTCTGCTCTCACCGCGGGGTCCAGGCTTGTTAATAAAGCTTTGTCTCTCACTCTGGAGTCCTCCGTGTGGGGGGATGGGGGGTGAGGGGTGGGGGGCTGGCACTGTTGTTCCACTGCAGCATTTCCCACACGCCTGCCAGCCTCCTTCATCTGCGGTGGCCAGGGTCCAGCCCTCCCAGGTGTCCAAGGCGGTGACAGGGGCCACTTTTTGTTTGCTTTTTGAGACAGGGTTTCTCTGCCTAGCCCTGGCTGTCCTGGAACTCACTCTGTAGACCAGGCTGGCCTCGGACTCATAGCGACCCACCTGCCTCTGCCTCCCAAATGCTGGGATTAAAGGCGTGCGCCACCATCTGTCTCGGAAGGTGGCTTGCTCCTCTTACACATCTTTCTCCTCAGCCCTTGCTGCCCTGCAGTCCAGCCCCTTGCCCACCACCCCATCAGTCCCTGCCCCTCCTTCGCATCTATCCCTTTCTACATTATCCCAGGCCATATCTCCTGGGGCCTCCCAATTTCACTGCCAGGGCTGGGAAAGGATGCACACAGATGTCAATTAGGCTACTCTTAAGTCTTGACCTCTCCACGGTCTGGTAGGTTTCAGGGCAAAGCAATACTGTCTCTAGAAGGCTCCTCACTTATTCATTTTTCTCTTAAAAAGATTTCTTTTATTATTTTCAAGTATGTGTGTGTGTGCATTGTGTGTGTGTGTGGGGGGGCCATTAGGGAGCAATATGCACACGTGCATGCCGACTGAGGCCAGAGGCATGGCGTCCCCTGGAGCTGCAGTTATAAGCAGCTTTGAGTCACCAATGTGGGTGCTGGGAACCAAACGCTTCTGCAGGAGCCCAATGCAGTCTTAACTCCAGTTCTGGGGGAATCCAACGCCCTCTTCTGGTCTCCACAGGTCCTGCAATGTATGTGGTGCATATACATTCAGGATATATATATATATATATA